ACGTCTACGACTTCAGAATTTGTAGTGCATGGAATTAATCTCTTTCATTAGCTTAGATTTCTAGTTATTTGTAAAGCTTTGTTGAATTTCTTGAGTTGCTATTATTATTCTCATAAACTGTTAGTTATACGGAATATAATTTTTTATCTCTTCTAATCTCGATCTTTTACAAAATTATGAATAAGCAATTCATTCGATGAACTTCTTATGTACAGACAACAATGAATGACATAAATGTAGCTAATGCATTTTCGTTTTTGATCATGCTTGGGATATTAATATGATGGTTTATGGTCACTATGGGTAGTTAAAATGTGATTCCGAAATTACGAAGCATGTTCAAAATCGAAAAGTCATTCCAGCGAGATGTCTACAAAAAACAGAACATACAATGGTATTTGTACTAGACAACATTAAGTGAAGGACTTCGTGTAATTAACTTTTCTAAGCACATTCGAGTCTTCTTAACAGACTAGAACCGTTCTCTGAGCTCCGATATGTGATAATATGCTTCGATTACAGCTTACTCTCTATACTATCCTTAAAGCAATATTTGATGTCGTTCAACACTCCCCAACACGGTAGCATGGAGACATCGGCCTGCAATGGAGCGATAACTCACTTACACATAGATCGTATGTTGCTTGGCTTCTTATCGCCTTTAAACATCGTATACGAGGACACATTTCAATCCAACACCGTAAGCCTGTTCACAGTCGCCTTGTTGTCTAGAATCTATATGCGATGTGTTTCTGCTGATGCTGCGGGCAATCAGGTTGTGCGGCTGGATCGCGAGGAGCTTGTCTAATCGTAGTTTGTTATGCGTTGTTTTGATAGCGTTTGATGTAATCAGTCGCGATGAGCAGTAAATATGAAAGACAATCCCCATATAGGGGAAGTAGTTTTGCAGCTGTGTTGGTACTGTAAAGTCTGCTAAGTTTAGAGGCATGCGCAAACTGTTAGAACTTCAAAGGTAGCACTAAGTAGCTGTTGCGCACATTTCTACAAAAGATCGTATAATGATGAATGATTGCAGTTTTTACATCGAAAGAAGAATAAACTCAATCAGAAACACAGTCGTAGCTTCCCTCACCTGGAAGTTGACACCAGGCCGCATATTGCAAAAACCAAGGCACTTGTCTCCCGCTGACGTTTTATGAACTCCTCGCTCGCGGCAACAGGTTGTGTGATCATCGTTTTGTGCGGCACATTGCAAGAGATCGAGACCGTATGACTGTGGACAAGGATCGGTTCCAAGGAACATTCCCGTAAGCTAAAATCGACGAAGAACTATTGTGTCCGCAAATTCTGGAGATACTTACCGTTTTCTTATTTAATATATCGAAGTTGCATATGCGCTCGCAAGATTTAGCAACCTTTATTGCTCTGCAACAACCCAGAAATACTGCGTTTGCGCTCTAAATTTAGAAGAGGTGATGGTTTGGGAAGTAAGAGGATTCTATGCATTCTGAAAACAAAGATATACCTTAGCAACACTGCTTGGAGGAGGAATGCTTTTTGCTGGAATGACAACAGCCTGCGGTTTTGCAAGGGGTAGAGGTGGCAATCGAGTTGTCATCATTCTTAATAGGGACAAATCATCTCAAAAGCTAAAGCGATTTAAAAAATCTTGCACAACATTTTTGTTAGGAAATGATTGTTGCTTGTGAAAAACGCAGAAATTTTGGGAAGAAGAAACTCTTGAATTTGACAAGATGACATGACAAAATTGAGACACGTGCTATACTACTGTAAACTCACATATACCATAACGAGAATGGATGTTATTAAAAAATGCTACTTTAGAACTATTTCAACAAAAATATATCAACACCACTAATAAAAAGCAACTTGCGACTATACTTACCTTGCTTGTGGCTGAAATTTCGGAACAGGTCCTCGAGTAACTGGCCTTGGAGCCACTATTTTTGGTTGAACTACCTTCTTGAACTGAAACCAAAACTCATTCTTAATACGTGTACTTTTAAATAATTGACTAACCTGGTCCACGGGAGTTGTTCGAGCTGTATCTTCAATGTAGCTAGGATGATGGCCATCGGTGAGCTTCTCTTCTGCTCCATAAGCTCCTTCAGGCAGTGACTGCAAAAGAAAGGAATAGAAAGTAAGAAACAGTAGCTTAATACTTGGGAAGCATCTTAATGGGACTTACTTTTAAAAAATTGCTGGAAAATGTAATTTTTCCCGCTTCAATGTCTAGCAAGGGGGAATCAGTTATGTGGATTGAAATAATCCAAGACTTTTTCCTTTGGAAAACGCAGGGCTGCTAATTTAGTAATGAGACAGAACTACACCCCTTAAGAATTATTGCAAATTAAAAACAATACATCTGCTTTGGATGACTTGCTTCTTTAATCGCATGGTCATAGAAGGATTCGGCGTTTAGACACTTGCTAAGCAATCAGAATTTCTTCGTATGCTTTCCATAGGAAGAAATGAAAGATTATAATTGTGGAAGTGCATAAGTCAGCTAATTGCTATTTTTTGGAAAGTCCTTTCTTTTGGTAAGGTTTACCTTACATACCCTTTTCCATGTTTTGCAATATGGAGAAATATATTTTGAATATGAATTTTGTTTTAAACATTGCTTGTATCTTGATTTGAGTGATCAAATTCAATTTATAAACTCTTTTCTTTGTGCTTAGCACTATTTTCAAATAATTCAAAAATTCTAACGTTCCAAACGTGCTGTTTTCGAATAATTCAGAAGTTCGACTACTCAACAACGACTACAAAATGCCAATCTGAAAATTTGAATGTCGACAAATTATCGGATGTTCGAATATCTACGAATCGGATTGCAACGTTAAACTGATATTTGTTATGAAAAATTCCGACTCAAATTATGATACTGTAGATGTCGTCATGGGGTGATGATATGAAAGGTGTGAATCCTTATAATACAGCTATGAACTATTTTTAATTACTTTTGATTGGGCCGTATTTGCAGCAGTTCTATCGGAAACATCATTAATAAATAGGTCTAGACTCCGGCACATACACCTTTCAAGTTAGCGTCAGCTGCTATTGGCTACAGCGGCCCTCATAAGGTTTAATGGTTACCATTCTAGAGAACTGAAGCCTACTCTAAGCACCTCTGGGATGTGGCCGACGTAACGTCAAACTTCTAAGACCATGAAATCACATTCTTGATGTGCTGAAAAGGGTGCCACGACCGCGAGCGGCGGCATGTGTGAGATGACTCTACTGTGGAGATTGATCGGGAAATCCTGCATTCGACGTATTCTTTTTCATCATCAACTTCTCAAGAAGATAAACTGCATGCAAAGTTATTCAAACGTACTGGAGAAGTTATGATTTATCAGTAATTTTAAAGTGATTTTTAGATAAATGGCTGATTTCTTTTTATTCTTAACCTATGAATCACTGACCTGTGCAAATAAATGGAATGTGGCAATGCTGTTTTCGAAAAATATTTTTGTATTCATAATTTTGTATGAATATATTAACATATATGATTATGTTGAAAAAAGTGCTTTTATCCAAAAGTATCTAAACCTTATTCGATGTGTCAAAAATCAATTTGGTTTTCCCTAGTACCTTATTATTCGAGTACTTCAATTTTTTTCTGAGATTTTTACGATGTATAACGGATAATAAATCATCAAAGACTTCATAAATATGGGCTATCCCAAAAATCGTGACTGTTAACACTCCTTACTAATGACTGTTGGCGTTAATGATCCATTTTGAAGGATTAGCTTGAGTTTAACTTCGGCCTCTAAGTGTACCTCAGCGTAAGTGTTTTTTGCCTTTAGCCATTCGGTCAGATCAAGCTGAAACACTGATTAGATGCACCTACCGCAACTTTGTTACAAACCCTATTGGCTGAATTTGTTATCAGATTTGGAAACGCGCTAGAAAGCCTCACTAATATTTCTCAGCTATTTTGAAACTTCTTCCGGAAATTGTCGATAGTTCTTTACGCCAACGAAACACCAAAAACTTTATATTATAGTCGTCCCATTCTACTGTCTCTGATCCAAAAATTCAAAATGTGGATTTCGCATAAACTCCGCCTAGAGAGGATATTTGACATGGTGATGACGAAAGACGTACTCGCTCCGCATGATAGCGTCTTACTGTAGAGATACTGTGGGTCTGCTTAGGGAGTGGGGAAATACGATAAAGGGCTACC